AAAACATTGTGAAGTACAATAAGCAAGAAAAAAAGGAAAGGATGTAACTGTTGAGGAAGTAGAATAAAAAACACCAGTACTGATCCTGGGAAAAAGATAATTTACTAGATATGGAAGATCCAAAGGCCCACAGGTCTCCCTTTGTGGTGAATTCCATTTTCACTATGATAGCAGCATAAATGACAGTCTCACTCTGTTGCCCTGCCTAGAATGCCATGGCACCTTAGCTCACAGCAACTTCAAACTCCTAGGCTCCACTGATTCATTTGCCTCGGCCTTCCCAGTAGCTGGGACTACAGGCGTGTACCACCACACTCGGCTAATTTTCCTATTTTTTAATAGAGGTAGGGATCTCACTCTTGCTCAGGCTGGTCTTAAACTCCTCAGCTCAAGCTAATCCTCTCCCCATGGCTTTCCAGAGAGCTAGGATTACAGGCCTGAGCCACCACACCTGGCCATGCTAACCTTTTTTTTTTTTTTAAGAGAGACAGTGTCTAACTTTATTGCCCTTGGTAGAGTGCTGTGGCATCACAGCTCACAGCAACCTCTAACTCCTGGCTCAGGTGATTCTCTTGCCTCAGCCTTTCGAGTAGCTGGGACTATAGGTGCCTGCCACAACGCCCAGCTATTTTTTTGTTGCAGTTTGGCTGGGACCAGGTTTGAATCCGCCACCCTGAGTATATGGGGCCAGCACCCCTACCCACTGAGCCACAGGTACCACCAGCCATGTAAACTTTTTATTTAACAATGCAAGAGTAAATGGACACAATCGGTGGGCATGGCCTTAAATAACTATCATATGTTAGAAACAGAACTTTTTTTGAGACAGAATGTTATTCTTTTGCCATAGGTAGAGTACCATGGCATCATAGCTTACAGCAAACTCAAACTCCTGAGCTCAAGTGATTCTCTGGTCTCAGTTTTCACAATGCTCAGATAATTTTTCTATTTTCAGTAGAGACAGTGTCTCGCTCTTGCTCAGGCCACTCTCAAACTCCTGAGCTCAAACTATCTACCCTCCTTGGCCTCCCAGTGTGCTAGGAAGAAATAATTCTTTTTATTATAAAAATTCAAATGACTTTTCCCTTCTACTCTGTAATATTGAGCTATATTCACTGTAACTATAAATAACATATATGACAGCAGAATGTATATTCTTTAAGTAAATATGGAACACTTACAAGACAGAGCATATTCAAGGACAGAAAACAAACCTTTTTTTTTTCTGAGACAGAGTCTTAAGCTATTGCCCTGGGTAGAGTGCCTTGGCATCATAGCTCACAGCAACCTCCAACTCTTGGGCTCATCAATCCTCCTGCCTCAGTTTTTCTATTTTTAGTAGAGATGGGGTCTCACTTTTGCTTAGGCTATTCTCAAACTTGTGAGCTCAAGCAATCTACCCACCTCCGCCTCCCAGAGTGCTAGGATTTCAGGTGTGAGCCACTGCACCCAGCCCAGAAAAAAAACCTTAACAAAATTAAAAGGGCTCGGCGCCTGTGGCTCAAGC